CTGTAAGGTAAGGTAAGGTAAGGTAAGGTAAGGTAAGGTAAGGTAAGGTAAGGTAAGGTACGCTACGGTAAGGTACGCTATGCTACTGTAAGGTAAGGTAAGGTAAGGTAAGGTAAGGTAAGGTAAGGTAAGGTAAGGTAAGGTACGGTACGATGTGCTACGCTACGATAAGATAAGATGAGATAAGATAAGATAAGATAAGATAAGATAAGATAAGCCTTTATTGTCATTGTACAAAGCCCAATGAGTTTTTGATGAGGGAATGACACTATTACATGATAGAAAGCTCAAAAAAATGTTTTTGCACAATACAAATGTGCCCTCATTTACCTATTCACTTTCATTCAGCACTCTACTAGATCTCTCTACAAAGATAATACAGGTCAATTTATAGAGACTAATCAGGACACACATCAGAGTGTCTTGCTCAGGGACACCTCGAGTGACTGAATATCAGGGAATTGTACCGCCAACTGTCTGATTAGAGGACGACTCCCTTAATCACTCAGCCTTAGCCGCCCAAGTGATGGCACAAAACAACACACAAAAACTAAACACAAGAAACACGAAACCTATTAAACAAAAATATTAATGCATCTAATCAAAAGCCCAAATACCATTAGTGTCATCACAAAACACAGAAAAACAGTGTGTGCATCAAAATATTTTATGAAGCACTGCACAACTTTTAATGAACCTTGAAGTGGACACCTGAAAGAAACGTGTGCGATGAGAACCTGAATCAAGTGCAGGAAACCGGTCCAGTTCTCAGATTTAAGACATATAATGTTTATGTGGTCCATAACAGAACCCTTCTGCCCAAGCAATCTGAACAAAATAGCCCCGAATCAAGTGTTCTAACAATGTTTACAAAACCTGGTCCCATCCCGGATATGATGCCATAGTAAACAAGGAAGTAAGTTCTAGAAACCAAATCTAAAACCTAAATAGAGACTTGTTGATTCTCTGACTTTTTAAGGTAAATGATTACAATCGATCAGAAAGTTTAAAATAAGTGTTTATCTGAAATTCAATTAATCAATCACAAAAGATCCCACACATCTACATCTGATTAACCTGGTTCAAGATGGCTGCCACAGCCAAAAGACAAAATGACTACAACCCATTCTTGAACAAGGATACCAATTAGCATTACAATTGAGACAAAGCACAATGAACATACATTAAAACTGTAATTAATCAACATCTGTACAAGTCTCCACAACAAAGTAATCATTCACTGAAACTCTTTCTGAGTGCATAAATAACCCAATTCATTTATGGCCAAAAGCAATTAAAAACAAGTATGTGAAATACCAGTAAACATGCAAATAAACATGATGTATGAGAAGAAACTGTCAGGTTTTTTATAACCTTGTCAGTCCCGGTGATGGATTGTGACTAATTACACCACAGCTCCTGCTGAGACGTCATTCAGGCACTCGGAAACATGGTTCCCAGCTCTGATGGCTGCTGAGCCCAGCTGCAGACGGGAGACAAAAACAAACCTCCCCTCAGCAGTCAAACTCTGCCTGTAGTTACTCTGAGCACAGAAAGCTGCTACCACTGGTTTCGGTAATTCACCAAACATCAGCACTTCTAAAAGCACAACGCCCTGAAGGAGTGTGGGGGGAGAAAAATGACAAAGTTGGGGATTTTTCATCTGTTACAGCGCTGATGTGACAGATCTGGTTCTAGTCAATATATCGCCGTAAAAAAAAAAAGCTTTTAATGAGAGGTTGATGGTGCAGCAACACCATCAGGGCTGGGGGAGCTCCAGCAATGGTCTGCAAACAACATGGGAGCCTTGAAGCTGCTCTCCAAGGAGGCCGACTGCTATCTTGTGAGGTGGCGCTCTCGTCGTCGCTCTYACACTTCCCTTCTGGTAACAGACGACTGACGACTGAAAGAAGTTGAAACTGGCAAAAACATTTACTGAAAATCAACAAATGAAAATGGGGTTCGACAGAATATTGAGTTAAAGGTTTCATTCTTTCAGTCAAGGCCAGAGTTTGCTTTTTAAATGAGTTTGTTTATAAAACATAATTTGGCCAATAATTGTATTTTATAATACTTCAGCTAACTTTCTGAGAATTTCAGTGAAATCTGTCCAGTGGTTCATGAGATATCTGGCTAACAGATGTTGACTATTAAATTTAAAGGGGCAATATCATGTAAAATAAACTTTTTTGAGGTTTATATCATGTTATAATGTTATACTCTAATAAAAACATGCCCAAAGCCTTGCTTTGTCTCATTCATGCCTGAGAAATCCTGCAGCGTTTTTAGGAAGCCATGCTGAGGAGCAAAATGACAGATGGGGACCAGAAACGCCTTTTGGGACCAGAAACGCCCCTGGGAC